TAAAAATTATATACCAGATACAACATCTGTATATCTCTGTTGTAAGTTTAAACTTAACCTTAAAATTCCCTCTGACCTATTTCTGAATCTTTTTAATAACCTAGTTCGTATCTCAAACCAAATGCTACTGCTATACTAGGATCTGACTCTTCATATACAGTGCCAACAACGACAAAGATCGTGACATTTCCATAAAGGCACTATCACTCAGGTACTCGTGTCTCAAGCCACTTGGTGCCGCCACCAGGAAATCCTTTTTTGACCAGGACTCGTTCCAGGGCCCGTATAATGTATTTGTCTCCAAACATGTGGTTGCTATCTACCAGTCTATCCAGATTTGGTAAGTAAACAATGCCGATCTTTTGGAGGGGGTAAGCCAAATCTCCACTTTTTATGAAAAATTTTTAAAGACTGACGGAAAAACGACAAGAGATAAAGAAAAACCACTTGAGCTTCAAACCAATTTAAAAGAGTGTAAGTTTACTTTTCTATAGTCAAAACCTACCACCCAACACCTGCTTAACATTTTTTCAGTGAGTGATAAACTCTGGGCTTGTCGGCAAGTAGTATATGAAAACTACTTCTAACAACAAGTGCCAAGACTTTGCGGTGAGTGATAAACTTTGAGCCTGTCAGCAAATAGCATATGAAAACTACTTCTAAACAACAGGTGCTGACTTATTGTCTAGTATATTAAGTGCTGGCTTGTAAGGTCTCTTTTTGTAGTAAAATGTTTTTTGGAAAATATAGTTCAAGTAATCATTATTCTAGTTTTTAGAATTTATATAGTTTATATTTTATTTTAGATTTGTATTTAATAATTACTAGTTTGTATTTTTCTGTATAATATGTTATATAAATATGGGCCTATAGTCTATTACTCATAATAGCTTCTTCTTATTCTAAATAGTGTTATCTAGAATTACAGATTCTAAATCTAACTAATTGTGAATAATTATTATTTATAATATATATCAATATTCAAAATTATTATTTATAAGGTTTAAATACTTGATCTACTATTTGGTAGATGATGACTAGACTACTTTACTAAGCCACTACACTCATTTTTAAAATTTTAAATAAAATAAAATAATAAAATTATTAATAAAATAAAGTTTTAAATTATAAAATTTATAGTATGTTTATTTGAATTAAATTATTTAATAGTTATAAATTTTAGTTTATTTCAAAGTAATTTAAAATAAATCAAATAAATTGAGTAAAAATTGCTTTTAAACCATATTTTATATTTTTATATTTAATTAATTTTAAACTATTTTGAAATATTCTGTAATATTTTATATTTATTTTTATAAATTTAAATTGATTTGCTTTTTATATATTTTTAAATAACTATTTCTTTTTGTTTATAAAATAGGTTGTTATTTCTGACTTTTTTAAAGTCAAAACTATTTTGTATAGTTTTATTATATTACAAAATATATTTTGTAATATTATAATATATTTTATAATATTTTAAAATATATTTTATAATATTCTATAATTTATTTTAAAATATTCTATATTAATTATAATTTTTATAAAAGTTTCTAGAGTATAATAATTTATATAAGATTATATTTATATATTTTACTAATATATAATTGAAGTATAAATATAGACAACAAGAGTGTGACGACATAGCGTAGTGGTGGAGTTGTCACCCCAAGTTTGTTGGCTATAGTACTAAGTTTGAATCCTACTGGCGACGTTTCGAATAATTTACTTGTATCATGGTAACGGCTTATTCTAAATTGGGCTGGATTTATATTATCTGTAAACCAGGGCACACCAACGCCCCGAGTTGGCACTAGGAGACATGGATGCATTTGTGTTATTGCACAAAGGAATGCAAACCAGTATAGGCGGTGCAAACCAATGATAAGGCATCTGTGATTGATCTTATTAAGACCTACTTATAGTAGCCTAAGAGAACTAAACCGGCTTGGCAAATCCCAATTAAGGAAGTAGCAGACTGTTCTGATCAGGTAATACCTGATACTACAGGACAGATCCAACTGGACCCCAAAAATTGGAGAAGTTGTGCGACAAAGATCTTACGGGCAAGAGGGATCTACCAACCAGGCCGCCAGTCATCCAGAAGAAAAGGTCACATGTTATGAAATTGTGGACCAAGGATTGGGAGACCTTCAAACTTGAGCCTGGAAAACTCAAGTCTGGGCAGACCAATCCTTCTGGGCCATCTGAATTGGAAGAATAACAATACCAAAAGGAGTAAGGTGTGGAAAGTGATAGAATGTAGTACAGGAGTTTGTGAACCTTAAAAGAGTAGAGTAGGTAATGGTAGGGGTTTAATGGTTACACCCTAACCCCAAGTATATAAATTAAGGCATGGCATAAGTTACTGAAGTCTAGGTGAATACATATATGAGAATGTACCACTCTGGCAGGTTTATCTTGAGGATAAACGGTTCTGTTCTAAGTCTGGCTGTTAATCTAGTGGTGTCGCATAGATCCATGATGCTCTAGTTTGCACATGGTGAGGTTACACCTGGGTTTTAAGTCCCATACGGTGGAAGTAAGGATATGATCAGAGGGTTTAAATGGGTACCCCCTAGTTGGGGTACAGATATGGCAAATAGTGTAGAACCTTCGGGCGGACTACTTAAATTAGGTACTCAAAAGGTGCATGTGTGGCTATATGTATTCTTATTATATACCGAAATAAAACTTAATAATAATAAATCGCTGTTGACAAAGAGGTCACCTTTAACACCGAAAAAAATAAATAAATAAATATAGACAACTAGTATAAATAGTACTAAAAGTACTATAGCTAATTATACAAGAATATATTATTATAAATATAATTGACTACTACAGTATAAATATAATTGACAAGGGTGTGGCGATGTAGCATAGTGGTGGAGTTGTCGCACCTCCAAGTTTGTTGGCTATAGTACTGAGTTAGTGTTACAAGCTATAGGGTTTTTATCAGCTGGCTTAGCCAGCCAATAAAAATCATGGCTAAGTGGCTACTAATGGCTAACTATATATATATGCTATATATGTACATATATATAATCTTTGCAAAAAAGTCTTTATATAGTAAAAATTATTATACGTATAATTAAAAAAATTTTTTTATATAGTTAATATACCGTATAATACTATATACGTATCAAATAAAATCCTAATTTTTCTAAATTTATTTCAAATCTATTTGACTAATTATTTGCATTAACACATATATATATCTTCATGCATTTGTCAAGCTAAAATAAATAAGCATAAGGCATTTATACATTATTTAAAATCAGCTAAAGTGGATAATTTTATAGCAACTTCCATTGTTATACTTGGTTTCGGATAATAGAATGCAATAGATTTTAAACTTGAACGATAAGAGAATTCAATTTTTTTAATATATAGATTTCGAACATGATTAAATATCAAATTCTTGAATTTTTAGCGAATGGTTGATAATTTTGTTAGGATGATATATCTCTGCAGATTTTTGGTAATTAACAAATATCTTATTTCTGCAAATTCAAGAACAACTTACTCTCATTATATTGATGTTATCAAGCTGAATAAAAATCTTCACTATAGCTTATATCGAGAGAATACTATATGTACTTCACTGTATCAAGCTGAAGTTTAATAATTCCATAATCCAAAATTCTTCACTATATTGAATCTTCACTAAATCGAAAGTTCATCATAATGAGAGTGAATTGTATTAGAATCATAGTCACTTTAAAAAATTAACAAACCTATTACGTAAATAAAATAAACTATAAAATGAAATAAATAAAATAAAATATAAAATCAGTTTTAAAACAATAAATCATACTCGCCAATAATTTACTATTTTGTTCAAAGGCAAAGAACAGAATTCTGTATAGCTTTACCATTCTAAATTTTGTACACTAAGAAATATTAATAATACAAATTTATAAACAATACATAGAAATAATAAAGAGATAAGCAGATGCACGTATATGCATACATAAATGTATGCATTGCCATTGTTCATAAGCTTGATGTTATTATTGTGCCATACAGTCTAATATTCTTATCTATTCAAAAAAAGTACTAGATTAGAATTATATATACAATTGTTATTGTTATTTGCACAAAATTAACAATGGGCAAATTGCACAAAAAATAGAATAACATTAATGTACAAAAAATTTTTTTGCACAGTATATTTGTGCCAAATTTTCAACACTGATATTAACATCTTGTATGATTATATAATCATTAAATCAAATATTCATTTGAAAGTGCAACTCTTTTAATATATTAGTACTGAGCAGAGGTCTTTTTCAATTTTTAATGGCTAGGAAGTATATTGGAAGTACACCCGGGTTTGTCTAAGGAGAGTATCTTCCTGCATATTAAATACAAAGTAAAGTTTCCAATTATATAATATAATTAGAAATTTACTTTGTATTCAATACACAGAAAAATGCTCTCCTTATGCAAACCCAGGTTATACTTAATGTACTCTCAATGCACTTTCCAGCTATTAAAAAGCGAAAAAGACCTCTGCTTTAGTGCTGCACTTTCAGAATTTCTTGGCTTATTCTCACAAAAAGCCAATTACTTTATATAATGCAAGTTAATAAAATATTTACTGCTCTGGCTAAATCTATTTCTTTAATAAAGCAGTATAAACTAACTTGCAATTATATGCATAGCCATTTGAAAAATAATAATCGTATGTCTAATTCTAATTGTGAAATTTTTAATCAATTACTTATTTATCACTTGCTAATTAATTAAAGATGTATCTACAAATAAATAAATTAATTAATATATAATATAATATAAAAAAAAAAAACTTAAATAAATAAAGATGGCTAAAAAGAAATTTTTTTATGTTTTGTAAACAAATCTTTTGGTATTAAAATGTCAACATATGACCAATATCAATTTAGTTCTTACTTAAATGAAGATAGATTAGATTCAAATGAATCAAATGAATTAAACGCATCAGATCTATCAAAAAACCCTAATGACCCAGAAATTGAATATATTGAATCGAACTCAAACTTACCTGAACAATCAATATCGCATAATAATGGCGTTACTGTTATTGCCAACAGTTTAGGTAAAAAAATCCTAAAAAAAAAAGTTTTTACTCAAAGCAAAAGATCAAGGCCTAACAAAAGTTGGGTGTGGCATTATTTTAGACAAAGTAAACCTGATAAAAAAGCATATTGCAAAGTTAAAATTATGCAAGATGGCAACAAAGTAGTTTGTGGTCATAATTATGAGTTAACTACTGGAACAGGAAACTTAAAAGCCTATTTACGCCAAGTTCATAGAATTTTACCACCTGAAGAAAATAATAAAAATGTTCAATTAACCAATATAGTTTCAAATCAACCATCATTATATGACTTTATAAATAAAAAACGCCCTTACCATCTTTTAAACAAGAAAAAATTATAAATTGCATTTTAGCCTGGGTTGTAGATGATCTTCAATCATTTTATACTACTACGAATAATTGTTTCCAAGATATGATTCTTGAATATGAGCTGAGATTTGAGTTTCCATGCATTGATAATTTAAAGGAAAAATTAATGCAATTGGTGCTTTTTGCTAAACAACAGCTTAAAAATTTATTACAAATGACAATGAATTCCTTTTGCTTCACAACGGACCTATGGTCTCAATTTCATCAACCTTATATCGCTATAACTATCCATTGAATTAGTCCTGAATTTATTTTATACCAAGCTCTTCTTACAATTCAAAAGTTTGATTACCCTCATATGGGTGATCGAATTGAAGATTTTTGTCGACAAATTTTTGCCCAATGGGGTATATATAATAAACTTTTTGGAGCTTCAATGGATAATGCTTCTTCAATGAATAAAGCAATGGAACAACTCGATATTGAGCATATAGGTAAGTAGACTATAATCTATAAATTAAAAAAAATACTTTAAATAAAATTAAAAGTCAATAAAATATAAATTTTTCATATATAGTTTTTTTTAAAGAATTACACTCAAATTTAAGATTCATAAGTTTTTATTATACCTCTATAATTAAAAATATAATATATTCGATATATGATACTTTAATAAAATTTTATACTTACAAAATTATATAACTTATATAATATCTTTATATTTAGGCTACACAGCGCACTCAATTCAGATCGCATTAGGGGATGGATTTAATATTGATGAAGTTAATAATTTAATTAAAAAAGCAAAAATATTAAATAATCATATTAGTTGAGATAAATACCATGAAAGCCTTTGTCAATTACAAGCTGAATTAGATCCGCAGCATCTTGTTAATCCTCTCTCAAGTGATACTAAAACTCGTTGGAGTTCTATGTACAATCTTTTAAAGAATCTTCTTCTTCTCCATAATGCTATTATACAGTTGGCTGATAATTTAAAACAAAGTGTTAATTGGCAAGAAAGACAGGATGGGTCAAGAATTTCAGAACTTCTCTTGTCAACTAAAGAATGGAATTCATTAGATGAATTAGCAAAGCTTTTACATCCTTTTGCACAGGCAACTGGATATATTGGAGGAAATCAATACCCCACCTTAGAAATGATGATACCTACTCTTATTAAGCTTTCACGCTATTTACAAAACTTTTACCCAACTATTATATTAATAACAGTAAAAAGCTGTTGCAGAAAAATTAATAAATCAATGCTATCAAGATGGTTTGAACCATCACCTAATAATCTATTAGCTTCTTTTTTTAGATCCAAGATTTAAAAAAATAAATTATTTAATACCTAATAAAAAAAGTAAAACTATTACTTATCTTTGTTCTTTATTTAGTAACTAGAAACGATCAATCTTTACTTAAGAATCAGAACCATTAAGCACTAATTCATCTTTTTTTGCCTCATTTTATGATGATGATAACGATATTCCAGACGAAAGTGAAAATTTATGCTCAATTGAGAAAGAAGTAGCTCTTTATGATAATCTATCTCAAATTCCTAAATACCATATTACGGATGAAGAATACAATAAGTTTAATCCATTAACCTGGTGAAATGAATATAAAGTAATGTTTCCTTTACTTTCTTACCTGGTAAGAAAATATTTGGCTTTTCCAGCCACATCAGTTCCTTCGAAAAGGATCTTTTCAAGTGCAGGCAATACAATCATTGATAAAAGGAATTAGTTAGATCTTGACACTGTTCATGACATATTATTTCTTAAAGAAAATTCCAAAATCTGTGCTGTATATCCGGGTTTGGTTTAAATTTACAATTTATATATACTTCACAAAAAGAAAATAACTTAGAGTATAAAAATCTTGGCTGCTTTAGTATTTCTATTAATGAAAAAAAACTTTTAGTTTAAATAGATATTGGTGTATCATATAGTTTTTTTTTAAGACAACCCAAAACTTAAATTTTTTAGAAAGATCGAATATGGCTGGAGTCAAAAACTAATGATACAAAATGTACTCAAAGAACTTAGTACTTATTTTGGTTTTTACGCTAAAACTATGGAACAGTTTATATAGAAAATTGTTGAATAAAATATTGATTATTTATATAAATATCGAACCTTAGTTTTTATGATAATGATTTTCCAACAACACTATACTGTACGTAACATTTCAAGCAAGTAAGATCTAGAAATATTCAAATTATATTCAATAAGATTTGAATTTTATATATAAAAAAGCAGTACAAAATAAAATTCTTTTTACCCTTTGACGCATACCTCTAACACTAACAAGTATTTAGCAAATGGTTAGATTATATAGATCTACATTACGTATTTTAGCACGTGAATGATATACGTACCCTTTAGCTATAAGCCATATTAGCTAGCCGATACATTTATATCAGCTGGCTTAGCTAGCTAAGCCGCCTTAGCCACAGCTGACCTAGCCAGCTTGTAACACTATGGTAGGGGTTTAATGATTACGCTCTGACCCCAAGTACATGAATTAAGGCATAGTGTAAGTTACTGAAGTCTAGGTGAATACATATATGAGAATGTATCACTCTGGCAGGTTTACCTCGAGGATAAATCAGGACATATAGTCTCGTCCTAAGTCTGGCTATTAATCTAGTAGTGTTACATAGATTTATGATGCCCTGGTAGCACATAGTGAGATTACACCCGGGTCTTAAGTCCTACATGGTGGAAGTAAGGATATGATCAGAGGGTTTAAATGGGTACCCCCCTAGTTGGGGTGTAGATATGGCAGATAGTGTAGAACCTTTGGGCGGACTACTTAAATTAGGCACTCAAAAGGTGCACATATAGCTATATGTACTCTCATTGTATACTGAAATAAAACTTAATGATAATAAATCACCATTGACAAAGAGGTCATTTTTAATACTGAAAAAAATAAATAAATAAATATAATTGACTACTACAGTATAAATATAATTAACTACTAATATATAGATATAGAAAGATCTCTCTAAATACACCTCTTTTAAAACTATAGTAAAAAATATATATTTAGAAAAAGAGAGTATTTTTTTTTATATATATAAAATTTAGCAGTCATATTTTGACTTTATTAGGCTTTGTACAATTCCTTTAGAATATGTAAAATTTTTCAATCCAGCATTTTAGAAAGTAAGTAATAAACTCTTAACTTGTTGACAGATAGCATATGAGAACTATCTCTAAATGACAAGTGCTATAGCTAAAATTGATACCTAAATTACAAGTTAAACTAACTTGGTTACCTCAATTAGTACCTATGTTTGACTTGCTATAGCAAGATTTACCTACTTCTAAACCTCTCCTGTTTGGATATGACTCTGTTCTCAACAGCTAGTTCTTGCTACCCATTATGACTATCTCCTCTTCTTTCAGACTTCTTCCATCTAAGCCCAACAAAATAATTAAACTCTTATTTATATATAAAAGTGAACAAAAAAGCCATGTTTATGAAAGATATAAACATTTTTAAAAAAAAACATCTCATAATGATAAAAAAAAACAGATAGGGTGGGGACATTTATCACCTGATTTTTTTGGGGGGGAGGGAGGTCAGAGGGATTATCAGGTGCTATATGAAATAGTACTATTAGCCAATCAAAATTGCCCAATTTCATTATATGAAATTTTTTAATAATAATAATAATTAAAAATATAATTTTTATATTTTTTATTTATTAACCTCCGGCTATGATTTTCTTTACAACTATCAATCCAAATTAGATGAAATTTTTACTGGAGATAGAAGTGATATTGGGCTACAACATGTTAAAATTTCAGCCAATTTGGATAAGTAGCTCTTAAGAAATTGTTTAAAAATATGTAATTTTTTTAATATAATTACTTATTGTTTTTAAGCAATTTCTCAAGAACTACTAATCCAAATTGGCTGAAATTTT